ATCCCCAAAGTTCCTTATTGATACTAAGCAAAAATTGAACAAAAAAAAAAATCACTTGAATGTCTGAATAATCGTGTTGTGCCACGGGTCAGAAATGTGCTGCACAAGGTTGTCGAACGGCCCTTTTCCGGTCACATTGTGCTGCACAATAAATCCCAAGAATGCCAACATTGCTAGCCTCCCTGCAAAAAGTGAAACCTAAAATCAATCCTCTGTTTTTAATCAAACTAAACCTCGGAAAGTTCAAAAAAGAAAAAAAACTTCCAAAGCTTCGGTTTACCATTGGCAATCTCTTTCTCCTTGGCTTCCAACGTTGGTGCGAAGTTGAGTGGATTGAATATTCCGCCCGGATAGCCTACCTCGTTTGGGGGCAGGCTGTAGCTCTTGAAAATCGGGTCTTGGTTTACGCTACCCGGGTTTTTTATATCTTGCCACCGCCTAATTTCCACGTAGTGGAAGAGGATGAACTCGATTACGAATAAGGTTGATGACGAGGCGAAGTAGTCGGATTTTCCGGCATCGTACCATTTGGGGACGTTAAGGATTCCGGCCGAGGTTAGGACCTCCGGTAAGAGCATGCCGGCTACCCCAAGCATGGCCCACCTCCCGTTGACTAGCTCGGCTTGGACGAACCATTTCAAGTTTTCCGGGTCCTCGGCAAGCCCCAACGGGTCGAACCCATTGTCTCCAGGCAGACTGACCGAAAACTTATTAGTATATTCAGTAGTTTTTTATTTTTAAAAAGTAATGTGATGTGTAAAGTAATAAGATCATGACACGTGTCATCTTAGCAGTTCTTGATTTTTAAAAGGGATGCGATGTGTAAAGTGATAAGATCGTGACACGTGTCACTGTGTCAGACTCTATGTCATCTTTTATGTCAGTAGTGAAGTATAGTATGACTAACCGAGACAAGTAAGATTGTGAAAATATATCAAGTTCGATTTTTTTTTTTTTTTTTTTTCTATGGTATAACAAAAATTTTTGCATTACGAACCTTCCATTGAGGTAGGCGGGAGAAGTAAGTCCCGGTAGCCATTCGCCTTTCTTGGCTTCAACCTTAAACGAGGCGTAAGAAGAAGACGATTGCCTGATCGAGACTTTTCGGTTCAGTTTTCCGAGTGAACCGGTCAAGAATCGGGTTCTCGACACGCACGGCCGGAATCCGGCGACCGAGGCTTGTGTAGTGACAGTTGCCATTCTTCAATTTTTTTTTAATTTTTCTTGGACTGGAAATTTGTGAAGGGGAGGTTTTTGGTGAGGCTATTGAAATGAATCTTTTGAGTAATTGTGTGTGCATTTGTATTTCCTTTCAATGGTGAGTTTGTGGAGCTGATTGGAGGTTGAATTGTGACTGTTGATATGGGAGATTTTGGCATCCAAGGGCTGTGATTTGATTTTGTAGATTATCCTTATCCATGTTGGCATATCCATAAATCTATTTCAATGCAGCCGTTGGCTCTTAGAGATTGTGAGGGCCCTTTTCAAGTCCCAAGTGGCTTTGTAGATTTTAAAACGAAAAAAATGAATATCTTTTGTATTTGGTGTATAGATCATACCAATTGGCTCTTGACATTTGTGTAATTTGAAGCTTATGTGGATGATTTGGTCTATCTTGTCTTGCTTTCTTGAACCACTTTGGAAATGTGATTTGAAATTTACCAAGATCATTTGTGATTCGGTTAATGATTAGACTTATTTAAAAAGGCACTCATAATATATTTAAATAGTGTAGGTCATAATATTAATAGTTGATAAAAATATAAACTATAATGGGAGAATTCTTCAATGATATATATAGTGTGTTAATTTTGCTTCTTGGAGATGAGGTTTTCTAGGAAAGTTGTATTTGTGAAGAGTGTAATATATGAAGGATAAATAAAAGTAGGGTTTCTTGTATGTATATGTACTTCATTTGGGAGAATGATAACAAATAAACGAGGGGAATCATGAACAGTTTTGAAATCAATGAACCAAACAAAGAAAATGTAAAATTTCAAAAATCGAGGTTAGTAGAACATGCTACCCGTAAAATGAAATTGGCAATCTATTAACGGCTCGATTTTTTACAACCGTCTACAATATACGGCGACTTCTATTTTCTGTATAGTGGTAGTTAAAATACACAATATTTCGACAACTTACTCATGTATAAAACTCTAAAAAGGTAAACAAAAACAAAAGAAAACGAGATGCTATGTATTCTTATGTTTTAACTATTTGTTATCTTTATAAGGAGATTGTCTTCTTCCGATGAAGGATGTATTTGTATATCTCATTTTCTAGTATGATACATCTCTCAAATCTCCTGGGTGTTATTACTTTTAATTTTTCGTTATTATTTTTAATATATGTTGAAGAAAATACATGTTTATTACCTTTTTTCCCTAATATTCTAACTATTTGTTTGTTTTTTCATGTATATACATCGGATATAGATTGTGATTAGAAATACGTTTTTTTAGATTTTATTTTATTTTATTGAATAAAGAAAATTAAGATTGGAAAAAATTAGTTGCGTGAAAGTTTGGATTTGATTATGAGTTTGAGTGGACATGAGTAAAAATATAATGATTAAAGCTTATCTGATATAAAGACAATAAAATAATAATTGTAAATAATTAATAATTCAAAATATGTGAGTGCAACAGCGAATTTTGCTGAAAATTGTGTAGTAATTATTATTATTTGAAATTAATTAATTATAATGATAATATTGATAAAAGTTAGTTAAATAAAATGAATGATGCATTTTGAGTAAATAAATTATATCCAATTGTAATTTCGTAAAAAAAATAAATAAATATATAATTCAGCAAGACAAAAATATATATATATTTTTTTTAAAAAAGAAAATCCAAGGTTTTAAGATGACCCGATTGTCGAGCCCCATATCTAACTTCTCATTTTCATTTTACCCGAAAATGAGTTCAAATTTCTCCAAAACGAGGAACAAGAAAGGCTCCCCTCCTCAAGCCCGACCCGACCCGCCAGCCGAATCAGGTCACTCTCCTCTCCACCTTCTGCAGCCTCACTCGCCGACGGCGAGATCTCGTCCGCAAGCCCGAACCCGAGGAGCTTCCCTCGCTGCAACAACGTAGGTGGCGCCGTGACCCGTTGGTCATCATCGTCTTCAGGGAGCTCGTGGCCTGTCACGGTTGCCTCTGCTGTGGTCACGATCACATTTTACCTTAGTCGAAGGTACTTATCTCATTGGATAATTTTATTCTGAATTGTTGATTTTACTGATTCTTTCTCTTAGTGTTGCAATTGTAACCTTCGTCCTGTTTGCTCATTCAGTTGGGTTCTGAACTGAATTGGTCGATTTAAGGTCATTGTCTGATAATTTTGTCAGAGGCTTCACAGCTATTTGATTTATTATCTTCACGAGTTATTTTTTTCTCATGGTTTTGTGTACTCTATCATATTATCAATAAAATTATGTATTATATTGTAAGCTGCTCTTCTAAACTCAAATGTCTGCTACACAGTAGTTGATGTTTGGGTGTGCTGGGGCTTATTTAACTTCAGCCGATAATATCTGGAGGAGTCTTGAGATTCAAAATCAAGAAGTTGATTGTTTGAAATAGCCTAATCTTATTCTGCACATGTGTATAAGATGTATGTATAGGTTATACTGTAATAGATCATATATTATGTGCCTATCGTCTGCAAATATAGGTAATATGTTCGAATCACATTATTTATTGTGTCCGTTGCCCTTTCCGATTATAGCCTGTTCCTTGTTGTACTTGTGAAAGCAAAAAAAAATCAAACCGAATCAGATTGCTTATCTTGTCTCAAGAAATTGCTTTGCTCGTCTATATACACATCTACAATGTGGCTGAGAGTTAAAAAGACACACTTTACTGTTCTGTAAATGACAAAGCAATTCTTCCAAACAAGTTTATTACACAGAGTCCCATTATCTTTATTCTTTAATACTCTGTAGGTAAAGTTACTCAAAAGTTGGTAAAAGATGCCGTTTTCTGTTCTGTGCATACTTTAATTTTGTCTGTCAAGGAAAATGAGGTGACATCATCAACTAATCTAATTTTTTTTTTTAACAGACTGAAGATGCAAATTCCATAATCAGCCATGAATAACATATCAAGATTCAAGTGCTCGATCATAAATCATCATATGAAAAGGATCTTTCTTCAGCAGCCAAGTTTCATTCACATGGCAGCAATTGAATGGAGAACAAGGCCAAGTACATTGTCGATCGATCATCTAAATGCAGTCAGTGATTTCACCAGGTACTGCTATGAAAAGGATCTTCCCAAGGCAATGGAGGCCATGGACTCCATGCAAAAAAATAAATTCTCGGCTGATTCGATCACATACACTGAGTTAATCAAATGCTGTATAGCTCATCGTGCTATCAAGCAGGGAAAACGAGTCCACCAGCACGTTTTCTCCAACGGCTATGAGCCGAAAACTTTTCTTCTGAACGCACTATTGAACATGTATGTAAAATTTAATCTTCTTGATGAAGCAAAGTTATTATTCGATCAGCTGCCCGAGAAGAATGTAGTTTCTTGGACGACCATTATTGCTGCCTATTCTAATTCCGAGCTTCATCACAAGGCTTTGGAGATGTTAATAAAGATGCTTAGAGATGGCGTTATGCCGAACATGTATACATACTCGTCGGTTTTGAGAGCATGTAATGGAATTCCCAACTTAAAACAAGTCCACTGCTCCATAATCAAGGTTGGACTTGAGTTAGATGTTTTTGTCAGAAGTGCCTTAATCGATATTTATTCCAAATTGGGTGAATTGAAACCCGCACTTCACATATTTAACGAGATGTCAACTTCAGATCTTGTTGTGTGGAACTCCATAATCGGTGGGTTTGCTCAGAACAGTGATGGTGATGAAGCCCTCAACCTATTTAAAAGAATGAAGAGGTTCGGTTTGTGGGCCGATCAGTCGACTCTAACGAGCGTCCTTCGTGCGTGCACTAGTTTAGCACTATTGGAACTCGGGAGACAAGTCCATGTTAACGTTGTGAAGTTTAATCGGGATTTGGTTTTGAACAACGCCCTTCTAGACATGTACTGTAAGTGTGGTAGCTTAAAAGATGCTGATACCATTTTCAATCGTATGATTGTGAAGGATGTTATATCTTGGAGTACAATGATTATAGGGTTTGCCCAAAACGGGTACAGCCAAAAGGCTTTAACTTTATTTGAAACAATGAAAGCTTCTTCTGGGACAAAGCCGAATCACATTACGATTTTGGGAGTTCTTTTTGCTTGCAGCCATGCTGGCCTGGTTCGAGAGGGTGAATTTTACTTCAAATCGATGAAGAAACTTTTCGGTATCGATCCTGGACGAGAGCATTATGGGTGCATGGTCGATCTTCTTGGACGTGCGGGGAAAATCGAAGAAGCCATGAAATTAATTCACGAAATGAAATGCGAACCGGATGCTGTGACGTGGAGAACTTTACTGAATTCTTGTAGAGTTCATCGTAACATGGATTTAGCCGAGTACATTGCAAAGAAAGTGTTGAGCTTAGATCCTCACGATGCGGGAACTTATATTCTTTTGTCTAATATTTACGCCAATACTCAGAGATGGGAAGATGCGGAAAATTTGAGGAGGTCCATGAAAGAAATTGGAATAAAGAAAGAACCCGGGTGTAGTTGGATAGAGATCGATAAACAGGTTCATGCTTTTGTTTTGGCGGATAAATCCCACCCGAGGGCGAATGCTATATACATGGAGTTGCGTAAGATTATATTGAGATTAAAGGAAGAAGGTTACATGCCAGACACGAATTTTGTTTTGCAAGATCTCGAAGGAGAAGAACAGATGGAAACTTCGCTTTCTTACCACAGCGAGAAACTGGCGATTGTGTTTGGTACGATGTGCTTGCCTGAACAGAAGACGATAAGGATCCGGAAAAATCTGAGGATATGTGGAGATTGTCATGTTTTCGCGAAACTGGTGGCGAAAGTGGAGAATCGGAGTGTTGTTATTCGGGATCCTATTCGGTACCATCATTTTCAGGATGGAGCTTGCTCTTGTGGAGATTATTGGTAGCTGTAGCTGTAAGTGAAAATAGTTATGGCTTTTGTACCACAAGCTGGTGTGGGATTAGGGAAGAGCTAATCAGGAAGTAGTTGTAGGATGATAAGTCATATAATAAGCCAGCGTCTTCGTAGTGAAGATAAAATTATCTCAAGGAACATAAACATAATAACTTATTTAGTTTATTTAATTTTTTTCTTTATTGTTGGAAGTAAGATAATGGTAAATCAGATTGTTTATAAAATATGCCCAATCCATATTTAAAAGCTAACCTCACTTTAATCCAAACTATTCTCAATATTATCAACATAACTCCATTATTCTCAATATTATCAAATAGTTAACTAATGTCTATCAATCATTCTTACATATCACATATTCACTATTCATCTATTTATATAATTTTAATTAATCATCA